CCGCCGCAAGACGTGGCAAAGGTATCGCGGCAAATCCAACCAACTCATCTGGCGTGTCTGCTGCTGCTGCTGCTGCCAACGCCGACGCGGCCGGTGCTGTTGTGTCCGTTCCTTCGTGCGTTGGCGTATGGTGTTGTCGGGAAGCAATGCAACGGGGAGGCGAAAAAAGGCCTCGCGACTGTCGAAGATTTCCTGCAACGTAAACACGGATGCGCAAGATGTTGTCGCCGAAGTTGCCACTCGTGGTGTTCTCGCCATCGTCGTCTTCCGGCACTGGGACATGCAGTACTTTTTGCCCCCCGGTGCCGTTTTCCTCTGCGAGGCGCAGCGCTAAGGTCTCTCGGAAGAACCAGGCATCGGTTCTCGCTGTTGCACAGTCGTCCTTCAGTCCACTGCCACTCTGGCCTCTCTCCTTCGCTCCCTCCCCGTCCGAATTTCCCTCGTTCATCCTGACTGCGTCACGATCATGACTGGCTCTGTCAGTTTCTTGGCGTGGTTGAGTCGCTGTTCGATGCCGAAGTCGACTCGCTTCGAGCACCAGGTACACCCCGATGTCACCCTTTTCACCACCGAAATATCTGATTCGATTGCTGTAGAGAGCATGTACTCTCACGACCATCGAGCAAGAAGTCGGAGAAGAATGGGCGCAGGAACAATACCGATCGACTGGAGTAATCTCACCGCCGCCACGGCCGCCGCCGCCAAAGCTTCGGCCCCCCTCATCCTCCCTGGCCTCCTCCTTTTTCCTGTCGCTTATCCTCCAATATCCCGAGCGACTGCCGCAGGCTGCCGCCACGGGGGTAACCTTTAGAGGCTGCCGTGGTACCCGGTCCTCGTCATCATCTTCTTCTGCTGGTGCTTCTTGTCGATGACCCACTCGTACGTCCATGCAGCGCTTCTCAGCGCTATCACTGCGCCGCATGCCACCCACCCCACCCAAGCGCCCACTCCCGCAGCGCCTCTGGGGAAATTCTTTGTCGTGACATAGTGAGGTCGTGGTACAGGGAAATCATTGACAACATCCACGGAGAGTGCGAGCACAGCGGCGGGGGCAGAGGACAGACCCACAAGCGACGTGAGAGTTGGAACGGCCTCAAACTGTTATTGGGTGTGTTTCATTTGATAGCGCATGGTGTTGAAATGACACGTGCTCGACCCATGCGTAGTGGGTCCCTTCGAATAAGACCTGTGAGAATAGAGCGACCTTGCCTATTTTTTCAACCAAGACAAGAGTGCCCGAATACAGCGGACAGCGGAGGTAAACCCGTGTGCAGTGGACTCGTTGATCTTCCCTGATACAGTGCAATAAATGTCACATGTTTCAGAAAATTCCGATGAAGCAAACCATAAGGTAGCCCGCACCACGTTTCATCCACATGGTACCATAGCGTACATGCTTCGAGTCTACAACATGGACCGTGCCCCCGATGGCCTTCTACCCTCTCTCTTAGCTCACCGTCTCGCTTGTTGCCTTCTGGGCTTCGGTATCGGCCCGAGCAACATCCTGACGCACTTCGCCTACCACCGCTAATCGAACCGTCTTCAGGTCCAGCACCGCTACCACGAAAGTCCTCATCTCGCCGAGCTTTCATGAGGAGGGCAGCGAGCTTCTCTTCCCTTCTCCGGCGCCGCTCCACCCGGAGCCCTCGCTCGTTGGCGTCCACAGCAGCCGTTGCCAGGTTTTGCCGCTGCCGAGCGAGCCTCACGCGGAGGAGCGCGCGCTTCCGCGCCAGGGCACAGGAGCCCTCTTCCTCGTTGGCGTCATCATTGTCTATACCGCTCTCCTCCCTGTTGAGCATGGGTGACGAAACTGTCCCGCTTAAGCGGGTGTTGCTCCTGCTCTTCGGCGCCGGTTGGACTTGGCCTTCATCCTCGGCGATATCAAAATCATCATGGCCATCATCATCACGACTACACCCGTTTGAGTTGCGTTGGCGCCAAGTTGCCTCTTCAAACCTGGCACCGAACGGCCGTGGCGCTTGGTTGGGGCTGTGATTTCCAGAATGCGTGCCTGGAATGAACGTCTGGCCAGCCCTTCTCATCGCTCGGGCAGGTTGTACCTTGCGTTCTGTCGCCTCAGGTTTTCCCAACCGCCACGGGAAAGTTCCGTCGTTTCGACACCCATCGTCGTCGCTGGGATGGCAGCAGCCGTCGCACCATCGCCGTTGGGCGTCACCATCGCCGCCGCTGTCACTGCTCCTGACTCCTTCTTCATTAGCACCTCCAAAAATGCCTTGCTTGTCCGAGTCACGGGTCGTGAAACGCGTAGTGTCGGCGCTCGCAAATTTCCGCGTGGCCTGCGTGTTACCCTCACCATCACATGGTTCTCTTCCGAAATGCCGAACCTCATCTTCTCTCCCCCTGCTCACCGAGCAACCCTCACGAGAGAGAAGCTCTACCAGTCCCTCTCCAGTTTCTTGGCGATGGCAGCCTTCCCCGAAGGTGCTAGCCCCAACATTGGAGGGTCCGCTGACGTGTCCGTTTGTTCCCCCCTCGACGAAGCTGTCGAGACTTCCCCCTATACGTGCTTCTGGCCATGGCGGCGGCGGCGGCGGCGGCGGCGGCGGCGGTAGCGGCGGAGGCGGTGATGTTGTAAGGGGCGTGTGCCACGATACACGGCGCACGCGGGGGGGATTCCTTTCGAGCGGATGCAACAACTCGTGACGTCGAATATGTTTGCTCCAACGTGTCGGAGATCGACGGTTGGCCTCAACTACCGGCCGTGCCGTCACACTCGGGAGTGCCACCATGGCATCGTCGTTGTCGGCTGTCCTACTGCAACCGCCCACGAACACGCGTCGTGACTCGCATGATTCAGCGTTTTCCAGCCCCCCCTTCCACTCAAGCCCATGTGAGAAGCCCCGACAGGCGGCATGAGATCCTCGGTGTGATACGGCGGTTGCATCAACAGTCCTCATATTTTCTACTCCCACTTCGTCGTCGGTCCACTGCGTAGACTGTTCGACGAGCGCTGGTCCAAAAGTCACGCTTTGGCCGTCCTGAACATGACGAGGCCGAGGGGAATGCTCGAAGCTTCGGAAGTCCTGCAGGGACGACGAAGACGTCGACGACGCTGTCGATACTGGCGACAACGGAAGTGATGTCTTTCTGTTCGTTGGCTCTCCCGACGACGAAACCATCAGTTTCGGCGCTAGACTCGGCGCTTCATGTGTCCTTACTATCTTCCTCTGCCACGATGCCAGGCGTTGGACGGCAGCAGTCCAGTCTACTGGTGGTGCTGATGGTAAGGCCGCTGTCGGGCTCCCGAGATGGATTGCCGCGGCACCGGCCACAGCTTGCTCGTTGGTAGCGATGTAGGCGAGGCTGGCCTCAATGGCGGGCGCGACGCCCATGGCCTCGGCGAGGGCAAGTAGGGGCAGCACGTCCGCCGGACTGCAGACGAAGCCCTTCCGCTCTCTCGTTGGATCCCGTGCGGGAGAACCGGGCTTGTCGGAACCGTCAGAAGATGTCGGAAACGATGACCGATCCTGGCTGGGGCTCAAGGCACGCGGTGGCGGTCCATGGACTCGCCCAGATGAGATCTCTGCACTACCGTGATCGCCGGCCTCGGCACCGTCTTTCTTGCTAGTAGTGTTAACAGCCGCCGCTTTCCGCAGGATCTCTTTCGCCCGCGAGACGACTCGCGCGTCCTGTGCAAGCGGGACAGCTTGCCTATTGCTCTCCACTGCCAGGCAGGGAGCAGGGAGGTGAGAGGAAGCACGCGGGAGATTTGTTTGGTTGTGCGAGAGGGAAGATCGTTGCACGTCGTGTTTTCTCCTACTCTGACTGCGACGAAGCTGCGCCGTAGGGAAGTTGGTTGCAGCCAACTGCTTGTTATGTGAAATAATCTAGTCTACCTGGAACGAAGCTAAGGCAGTCCCAAAAAGAGCTGTGCGACAACATTGGACACATTAGAACGCACCACTTGTTTGGTAAGTGTCGGCGATATTTCTCCACTGCCCCACAATATCCCAAAGGTCGTGAAATACTGCTGCTGTGGTTCCAAAGTCGGCGCAGACCCCCCTGCACAAAGTCTTCAATTCCACGAGCTGTTTCTCCACTATGGACTCCTGCCGCAGCTGCCCTGCCACTCTTATTCGTAGAAGGAACACGCGCAGGACATCAACGAAAAGCTCGATTTCACCGCTGTCGGTGTTGTGGCCGTCGGTGCGGTCGTCGTCGTCCTTATCGTCGCTGGTGCTGGTGCTGGTGCTGGTGCTGTTGTTGGTGTTGTACGGTTCCCGGAGAAGAGCCTGCTCGTCATCCAACAATCTGCATGGGCGATCACGTCCCATAGCCCCCTCGTCTTGTTGGTCCGCAAGATGGGCGCTGTCCTCCTTCTGCCGGACCAACTTCATCAACTCTCGACCAATCCGCGGGCTCTGAGCTTCTCTCAGCAGGTGGCGAATGGTACCCCACTCGAAGACGGCAGGAGTGACGACAGCAGTTGCGCCAGCGTGGGTACCAGAAGCTGTGGCATCAGCAACTGGCTTGGAGCGAAGTACCGCTTCCAACACCTCGGCGCGGTCCATCGTGCACGTGAGCGGAAGCGCTGTGTGTGGGGAGAGTTGGACGCGTTGTACAGCAGTAGTAGATCCTGTCGCTCTATCACATGATACTCAGAGAGGAATAAGATCCAACGATGTCCGGCCCGAGAGCAATCAAATTCCAGCGTCACGATGAAGAGACCAGCGACCGACACTTCCAAGTGACACGTATCAAAGCGCTCATTGTTCACAGAGCCGCAGACTGCTGTACCATCTGGATTGCTGCATTGCGGCTGTCGAAGCAGGACAGAGGTTGACACACGCCTATGGAAGATGACAATATATAGAGCGCTCTATATATTGTCATCTTCCATAAACGAACGCAACGCGCGTCCGAGGGGGTTCGCGAACGTGATCTTACGAAAATGCGTACACCTCTTTTTCTCGTGCGCGAGAACCCCCCCAGCCCGAGTGCGCAGAGACTCCCCCAAGCAACAGATTTGAATTGATCGGGCTATCTCGCCCTGCGAGAGGGCTAGACATGATCCGCAACGTCTTGGTCATGAAGAGTGGTCTGGTGCTGTTCTCACGAGAGTTTGCAAACACGGTGCAACAGGTGAGCGAGGAGCTCTACGGCGCAAGCATGATAGCGGGTACACGCTGCGGCACACCGCACATAACGAACCCACAGACCATACCACACCCACCTCCTCTCTTGTTGTGAATAATCCATAACCAACGCACCATGAAGGCAGGGCGCATCTGCCAGATGCTACCAGTCGTCGCTTCGTTTCCAAGTGGTAGCGCTTGCCGATCACATGGCCTCTGTCATTGCTGCTGTTCCCCCTCTTGGGATGCAAATGATGAGAGGAGAGGAGTGAGAAAAAAGGTGGTCCGGTCGCGGTCTTACCCTTTTCTCTTTGCGGCAAAAGCGGCCAAGAACAGGTCTGGTGTGCCAAGTTTGCACGCACACACCCATGGCGGATATGCTTTCATTATTTCCACGTTTTGTCCTACGACCTTATTATTGCTTCCATTGCCTCCACATTTTGAGCCAGCTCATAGACTCTTGTCCTTGGAACGAGCCCGCAGGAGAGGCGGTGCACTCTCGTGTACTTTTTTTAGGTCGGAACGTTTTTTGGTCGGGGTGTGTGGGAGCGTAGAAACGACGAAACAACATTTTCATCTTTTCGTCCACACCAGACACGAGATCTGTTCACAAGATGCGTTGGGCTCTTCCTGCAACTGCAACTCCGTTTTGCCTGCGCGAGGCTGTTTACGGGGAGCGGTTGGCGAGTGAAAGAGGCACCCCTTTCCGCCAAACACCCCGAGCAATGCTGGCATTGCATGATTGCACGAGGTCGGGAGCGTGGAATTTTTATGAATTTATCCCGCAATCGCGATGAAGTATACGGTGTGTGAGCCCCCTCCCGCGAGGCGTGGCTGTACCCCCTCGTGCGTGACTTCGTTCATCCTTGTCTTCTTTCCCGCCCGTGCACTCCGCTTGCCCCTTTATGACCCCCCACCTCTCCGCGGGTATCCTGCGTGTCTTGTTTTGCCCCCACAGAAACTCTTGTCTCTCGCGCTGCGGATCTCCGTCGGTGTACCAGTCGTGTTTTTAGTGCGTGCAGCGTTCCACACCCACCCCGCCCACCCGTGTTACTTCATGAACGCACAGCAGCCTAGAGGCCCTCCCCCGCCGCACGCACCACACCACACCGCAGCCAACCAGCCAATCACGGCGTGACAATCGCAATCCGTTCTACCGCACAAACAACTACTACGACAACTGCAACGGCGTGACAAGACGCAATCATCCGTTGGGGACGCGCCCCTTCCCCCCTCCCCCCCCCC